GCGCTGTTCGCGCTTCGCGCGGATATCCGGGCTGCAGATCGTCCAGACTGAAACTGGTATAATAATGAATTATCCCTCAGGTATTTCTCTATTTGATTATAAGCTACTCTTTCTAGAACTTTGGACATAACGCTAAGAATCGACACAGGTCTATAATTTCCTGGATCGGTTTTGCTTTCTTTTTTGTGCAAGGGGATGACTCTCGCCAATTTCATATCATCTGGAATTATTCCATTGAGGAATGATAAGTTGATAATATGTGTAAATGCCTCAGATGCTATCAGTGCTCTAAGATTTGGAATGTGTATTTAATATGACAATGTGCCTATTCAAATTCAAACTTCAAAACATACAGATGTACATAGTGAAAGTATAAATGCAGATTGAAAATAGGCCTATTTTTCATAATTATGTACTGATACTGATAGTATATATACAATTTTGTAAATAATATTTTATTAGTTATCATACTCATAATATATATTTTAGATACTTTAGTCAAAACATCAGCTTTAGCTACATTAATTCCTCTTTGAAATTTACAAATTGACCTTTTAAAATGATCAGAATTGGTTGCTTTCAACATAGCCTGAAAATGCAGGAAATGCCATTTCCAGGCTCTACACTTCAAAATTTTTCCCCCAGTACCCCCAGACCCCCCAACCGGCTACATATTTCTGCAGTGGCACTTTTTGGGAGCCCACTACGGCCCTGGCTCTAGTACTATAGCCCGCTAGCAGCGCCAACTACGCGGGCTACTAGAGCTAAGTACTAGAGCTAAAGCTCGCTGGCACGTGTTCATGTTTGCTATTTTGGCGACACCCATGACGATATTAATAAATACGATTGTGCCATAACAAACTGTAAAGTACACTAGCTTGTAAGTATAATAAGTAGCTTGGCGCAAATAAGTAGCTTTATTGCAGGAAAATTGAATTACTAAAGATGGCAAAAATTACGCAAACACGTAAAAGTGAAAGTCACGTGACGAACGTGACGTCATTTGACAACCGATCGACGTGTGACGGTGTGTCACTGAGTTTTGTTTACATGTAGTATTAGTAGGTACTTGAGTAGGTTTCGGGTTTGTATGCCAGGTGAGTTGCTGTTTGTTAACTTGATACGGTTATATTTTACGATGTACGTATGCCGGGTATGGCACTCCATTACGCCATCATGATTGGGTGGGTTTGCACTTTGCACATGCCTGCGTCACTCCGCCACACGATATTCGCGCGTGTGTTTGTGGATGTAGGTATGTAATGTTGGGCCACGTACAGTATTATGTATACTACAGTACACCTACTACACCGATTCAGTCGATATTGTGCTTGAAATCGACACTGCCACACAGTCGTCATTTAGGGGAACAGGTCCCAAACTTTCGTATCAGCTGCTCACTATAATATCTTTGTTCGTTATTTTCTGCAACAGGACGAATGAAAAGACCACAACTCCATGGCTTACTGGAGAACATTGAAGTTGCTTTTGTGGAAGAATTTTGTCCTGCGCAAGAGGCAGAAGGTAAAATGTGTCGCCATTTATTTTAGTGATTGATTATTTAGTTCATTATCAAACATACTTTACCAACAGGTAATAAGTACACAAGTAAAACATGCAGCTAGATAATTATCCAGGATTGAAACATAATGTATGTCCAGCAGGGGCGGATCCGGAGGGGGGGGTCGAGGGGGTCCAGACCCCCCTTTTTACCACAAAAAAAGGAAAAAAGATACGCACGCGCGCGTGCACGCACGCACGCACGCACACACACACACACACACACACACACACATTTCTCTTATATTGTCTCCATAAAAAAATCTTGTTGAGCACTAATTTTTCTGATAAAGATTTACTTATATATATGTAAATTCGTTATAAAAACCTAGAAATGTGCAAAGAGCTAGGGGTCCGCAGCAGTGTTCGAAATTCACGTCGGCCCGTCGGCCCGCCGCCGACAGTTTCGATGCCGGGCCTACAGCTTCTTGATACAACAGGCCCGCTGATCCTACAGCTATTTGATCACCGAAATTCGAAACACTGATCGAGAAACTGTTACCTGTAGAAATCTGTTCATGCATATTAACTTCCAGGGGTATTTATTTGAAAACTAATCCGTGATAAACCGTGACATACATATGTATACAATGCGTTCGCCCACTGCAATCAACTTTAGTTGGCATTTAAGAAACGTGCGTGGGATGTTCGGACGCACAGATTAGCACAGGTTTCCACTACAACTGGCCAAAAGTAAGCTCCACCCACGTCTTATCGATTTTTGGTATGCCAACGCTGCTACTGGATGCAAACACAATGTAGGGTTGGGCCAGGGTTTATTTACGTGCACGGGTCGTGCAGCACGCTCACTGTTCACGTGCGCTAGGTTGTGGAGTAATTTTCACATCCCCGCGCATTTCACGTTTGGATGTAAACAATAAAGTATCACTGGTCGTTATTACAAACGATCAGTATACTGTTTTAAAATAATATTAAGAAGATTTAGATAATATATCATGTTGAAT